ACAACACGAGAATACACAGAGCTGATGATGTTATAAGGTTTATTGTGACAACGCCCAAGCTAGTGATATAAAGCTGATGATGGCAAAGCTAATATTTAATATTTGTCTAAGATTGACGCAAGCAGCGACTGGACGCATAATCAAAACTTGACAGCCCATGAATTATTATTTTTTTTTAGAATTATAAAATTCATACATTAAACTAATTATGATAAGAAAATAATGCATAAACTGCGTGTTGAAATATATTGTTTACAGGTTTGAGCAGCGCTTAAATGACAGCTATGATTCTCTTTTATCAAATACTTATACATTTTAAATTTATTATATTTACAATAAAAAAATTATATTAATTATTTACAATTTTTTAAATATATATATTTTATATAATAGAAATTATACAAAATAATTTAATAAATAACAAATATTTTTTGACATATTTTATAGTTAATTTTAATTTCCTTTATAACAAATAGGAAATTAAATTAATAATAATTAATTAATAAAATTTTAACATTATACTTTATAACAATTTAACATTTTTAATTATTTAGCACATAAATAAGCTAATTTGAAATCGAAACTAGAAACGGAAATTGAGAACAAAAGCTGTATCGAAATTAAACTAAGCGAATACCCTTCAAAAAGAGTTCAATTTGTGTCTATTCAAGCGCAACACTCAATTGATTTGTAACCTCAATTAAACTTGCTCCATTTGACACCAATCGAGAATTGTCAACAGTTGCAAAAAAAAAAAAAAATCGATATATAGCTCATATATGTATGCCTATATTGAGTGAGGGCCGGTCCCCTATTCAATCAATTTGTTTATAACTGAATTTTCAATGCGTGTTATTTGTTGTTTCAATTGACTGTAGTTTGTTTTCTCTCTCTTATCAGAAAAGGGGCTCGACTTGTTGTCACAGCGGTACGGTCAAATAAATTGTCGTTAATTCTACTTACTTTGCACTCGGTGCAGACCTCGTTTCTCTGTGTTCGACATGGCGATAGTGTGAACTGTAATGAACGAAAGAGGAAAATGAATTTTTAATTGAAAGATAGTTTATATTGATGATCGATGGGCATGGGGAGTATCATGTGATATGCAAGTGCGTGTGATATAGAGACGAGTCGGTAAGTGTTATTACTGATCATCTTTAGAATAATGAAAAGGTTTTTTTCCTATAATTATATGATATTATATCTTATCTTATCTTATCTTATCTCTGTTCAAACTGTCTCGTGTATGCAAAGCAAGAAGCGAAAACGTGCGCATTTTTCGTGAATGATATGATATTACTATCGATAATGTGCGTCTTCAGTGCAAGTTGATAAAAAGAGGCATAAAGTAGGTGCCCATGAATCAGCCTCAACTGCGAATTTGTAGATAATATGGAAGCACATGATGGACAAAGATAGCAGTACCAGGCCGCTTGGCTCATTCATAAAATTAGTACTCAAAACTCTGGTCTAAAGTCTAATTCCGAGGAATGCTTATCTTGAATGGATTTTCTATTACTTTAAAAATTGCGACCTAAAATAAAAATCAGGCACTAAACGTACACCCGTATAGACCATAAAGCCATTAATATAATTGTTATCTGCATAAGATTTATTGGCGCCATTGATAAATCACACCTGCAGACATTATAGGTGCAACAAATAGTGCTGAATCATTACCAAGTGCAAGATACATTTATATATTTAGGGGGAATAACTTAAGAAATATATATTGAAAATAAATATTCTTGACATTTATTTTCGCTCAGTGCACATGTATGCAAATAATGGACTGCACATGCTTAACAGCAGACTGCATAATAATCAGTGTCAAGTTCTGAGCCCTAGCAACAATATAAGCCCAACCCTGCCCGACCAATCTAGCCCATTCAATCAACATATGTACTCTGAAAGCAAAAACAAGCTATTAAAATAAGAACACAAGTTAAGTTAATTTGAATAGAGTGCAAATATTTGGCAAAAAAAAAAAAAAACCCAGTCAAATTGCCCATGTGTGAGGGTTGATGCGGAACCCCTATATATATATATATATATATATATATATATATATATATATATATATATATATATATATATACTATATATCCATATGTAAATGTAACTGTATGTGCTGTTGTCCCTCTTTATAACGACTCGAGTCCTCTTCGTGTTGCCATGTTATTTGCCGCATTAAATGTGGCGTCTCTCATATAATTAGCTATATGTGTATATGTGTGTGTGTTTTCCGAATTGTATGAGTTGGGCATTGGCTATATACGACATATGCCTTTGTATATACATATATAAGACGATTGAGGCATACCCTACTTGCTCATTGCTTAATCGTACGACATTTGAATGAATTTCCATATTATAAAAATATAATTATATTTAAGTAGAAAAGGACAATGTGTCCTGTACTCTTAAATTTAAAAAATGTTAAACACAACACTTTGTATACAGTAAATTGATTAAAAATAAAGTGTCCCACATAAATAAATAAGTAATATACATGTTGGTTTTGAAACAATTTTATTTAGAGCTATTGTAGGCTAATCGGAATTTGAGTAAATATATTTATTTTGTTTCTTTTTTTATAAAATCAGCCTACAAATTGCACTTTCAAGATAATTTTCTTTATTATAATTGGTTTTCTGCAAACTTTATCTTATCGAAAAAGTTTTAAAAAGTACTTTATGCATTACTTTTAACAATATTGTCATTAGTGTGATTTAGAAGACTTTTTAAAAATTTCAAAATGTTTTCCAAATTTAAAACTTTAAAATCCAATTTTCATAGAAATATTAAAAATGTCAATTATGACTTCAATCTATAAATTTTTTTTATTTCGAAAAACTTCAATATTTTATTTTTTAAGTTTAAAGATTGTCATCACTTTGCAGCACGTTTAAACCGAACAATTTATATATATTTTTATATAAAAATATATATGTATTTATATATTTTTAAAATATATTTATTGATTTATAAATGTTTTCTATAATTAAAAATGAATGAGTATAAAAAATATACGTTTCAATGCCTATGCGTTATTTTAAGTTTTAATACTCATTCGAGCCCAAACGCTGCCAGTTCCGAATGGTTTGCGCTAATACCGACAAAAGGACACTTTCCAAAATAAATATACTCATTTTAATTTAATGAATGAGTATAACAACGTTAAATTTGCTTCTAAAAATGTAGTAACATTATTTAATAACACATAATGTTCTATTGCAACAACTTCATTTAATTTTTTGTTTATAATCTACTCTTACAAACTAAATTTAGCACAATTCATAAAAGATAATTGCTTAAACTTGACTTTAGATTTCAAAGAATTTCATTGTTTTGTATGTTTTTTGAGCAAATGCTCCTATTCAAAATTTGTTTCCTGGAAGCCATGAGATTTTGTATGCCCATTTTTTTATTGCGGAACTCACCTTGAACTTAAAGATGTCTAAAAACGTAAATTATTTACAGTTAATTATGTAATTAGCACAGCACGCTCCAATTAGCAGTTTGCCCAATGTATTTACTACTAGTAATTTCCAGATATTAAACAAAGCGTAAAACAAAACGCGCGTCAAACTTAATGCACGCGCGTCTATTGTGATTTTGTTTTTGTTTTTGCTTTGTGGTTTTTCGTTTGTGAATGATTACAAAAAAAAGGATTTGTTTTTGTATTTCGATGTCACTGTCACACACACATATGTACATACACAGCTGTGCATACGTTCTAATACACCAATGCACGCCCGCACGCACTCAAACACACGCGTTGCAGTATTTAAATGTACATAACAGTAGTTTTAGCTGTTTATTTTTGTGTCTCCACTTTGCGTCTCTTCTTAAATTTTAGTTTTTGAGTGTGTCTATGCTTTATTTTGAAAATTCGCAGCGGCAGCTGTTTGTTTTATTTAAATAGGCACATTGAGCGCAGCGCATGCGCAGGCAAAAATTGTAGTTTTCAACTATATTTCTAAATGCGAATTAAGCAAAAGAAATATATACAATTTCAGACAGTTGGCGGCGGTGAGTTGCTGCGCCTCTGGCTCTTTGCCTTGCTGCCTGCTTAATTATGTTTGGGTATTTTTGATTTTGTCGCTCGTCTTTGCCTGCGCCTCCTGCCAACAGCTGCTTGACACTCCGATTGTTGGAACTAAACTGAAAATGTTGCCTGCGCGACAGCCGCTTTTTCTTTGCTGCGAGCATGCGACGCGCCAGCGCTGTTGACGTCGATGCTGGCGCTGACGCAGACGTTGACGCTCACAGCATTGGCGTTCGGTTCAATGGTTCTGCTTTTACAATGGATCGCGAATGAATGTGTGTATTGGTGTTGCTTGTGTTGTCGCCGTCGCCGTCGCTGCCGCTGCTGATGTGCTGTCGTTGTTGTTGTCGTCGTCGTCGTGGGATGCAAAATTCAAATTTTTCGTGCTGCTTGTGTTATTTTTGTACTGTACCTTTTCAGTTGCCCTGAATTCGAGGCGGGAAATAACGGGTATGATGGGTTTGTGAGATTGCTAAACGATTGGTAGAATGGATTTTGTAGAAAGATTTAGCTATACATATTTTGTATAGAATGCGATTAAAATTTATACTCAAAAATCTTTTAAATATAATAAACAACGAAAAACACGATGCTTTTTGGGTTATTTATTAAGTTTTAAAACTCATATTCTAAAATCTTCAAACAAAATATAAAAAGCTATAGTTTCTGAAATAGACCTATACATAAAAAGACAAATGAGTTACAGTAAAAAATGATATACCAAAGGAATATTATGTAAAAGACCAAGTTGTTAAAAGATATTCCTAGTTACAGGGTATATTACAGTCGTTGAATGCTCAACTATGTTTATGCCTTTGCAACCTACATAGCTGGGCTCACGTGTAGAGCATCAGCGATATCAATTCGAGCTGTAATCAACAATTATCCAGATACAATCGATGCAATTTAAATCGATTCTAAATAAATAAAAAAAAAAATTAAATAAAAAAACGTTTTTAGGGAAAGATCTTCCGCATACTATATTAAAAACAACAATCGAATGTAGTCGGGTTTTATGTGTGGGCGTTGTATGTTTGTGAGCTATACTATATGGAGAATCGGATCCAGCGATCTATTATACTTTCGCGCACTACCGTGTTGTGAGCAACATCAAAAATGGGTGAGAACTTTTCGGGGAAGGTTCGCTGCAGGCAGCTCATCACTGTGCCGGTCAGATAGTAACGGGACAGCCAGCGGCACTCGCAGGGCGGTAAGCACTTAACGCAGCTTTTCTCGGTGGCTGACCACCTGAGCTGGGACGAGTTCATAACGGAATGGGGTAGAACGCTCAGAATCCACGGCAAACGGACATCATTTGCATTCCAACAGCAATCACAGGGCGGCATGCAATCTAGGCACATTTCGTCATGTATGGAGTGCAACTCTCTTGCCCACTCCACTGCGGGCGGTTTCGTTGCCGGCACTGGGCGTGAAGGCTGCAATTCCTTGAATTTCCGCTGTCGTTCCCGTGCTAGCCACAGCGTCAGCAGATCCCAATGCTCCAGATCGGGCAAACGCTCCCTGATGATCTGCATACGCCTGTACAAATCCGATCGACGCACTTCATCATAGTTGATGCCCGTTTGCGTGTGCCACAGCAGGTACAGCTCGTTGGGCCGCTCATCAGGGAGCGACACTTTGCTCGAGAATTTGGTCAGCTCGAAATGGAAGAGCATTCGTATGCCATACGCAATGTGCTTAATGTGCTCAAAGTCCTTGATATTCATCGCCGACAAGGCGGCGGCGTCCACCAGCAACAGCTTCCTGCCCCAGATCTTGTTCACTTCAAAAGTATTCTATCAAGAGAATCAAAGTTAATTTCCAAAATTAGAGTAATGCGCTTCTAGTAAGAGAACTCTAAGAAGGAAAGAAGAGAAATAGGAAATATCATAATCCCTCGCAGAGGGATTTAGATTTTTATACAATTTTGAAGTATTTATATTTTATATTTATCTTTATTTTTACATCTTGTACTCTAAAAAATCAGGACCGTCTAACTCACCATATACTGGGGATAGCCATATCTACGAATCCATCTCTTAACGTCAGCGTAAGTCCACTTGAAGACCGATGGCAAGGGCAGTTTATCCACAGCAATGGCGGCTAGTTCGACTAGGGATGTGGCTTGAACGCGAAATTGAATTGGATGGGCATGATGATCGAAGTCCACATGTTTCGCAAGTAAGGAATTTGTTCGATATTTGTATTCCTTTCTTAATCCCTGGCGTTTCTCATTCCATTTAAGCTTCCCTCTTCGATACTTGGTATCCGATATTCCATATAGATAGACCATATTATGTGTATTTGGGTGTATGCGTGTTTTGGTTTATCAACAAGAAAGGACTAACAAACACTGTGTGAATAACTGAAAGTGTCCGAAATAAAACACACAAAACAAACAAAAAACCGGTACAACTAACATATTAAGTTTGGCTTACTGCTACAATTTACTCGAATTTCGATAAATTTTTAAAATACTTGAAATAGTCGTTTATGATATGGGATGAGAGATAGACGTTCTATTTAGGGTTTTTTCTTAAAAATTTAAATTATCTTTCAAGCTATAAGCAAATAAGGTATACAAAATTGCATTCCAAAAATCGTTCAATATATAACTAAATAAAATCTACTATAACTCATCTCTCACTATCATCAATCTTAATCTATTTTCGAATTCCGTTTTCAATTACGCAGTTTCGGAATACCAACAGAAAACCGCCTCAAGCTCGTGAGATCTAGGCCGTGCCAGGTAAATGTGTACAGCTCGGTTTAGCTCAAAGCCATATCATATTCCCAGGCTAAACCCCTCTATAATGCTGTTCGAAAACATCTGCTCAGTTGTGACTGCTTGCACTCAACAACAACAACAAGAGGACTAGAAGACTCAAACTATTGGCCAGGTAGCCTGGCCTGATCGGTTCGAATTTTGTTTTTCGCAGTTCCCTGATTGGCTGTCAAAACATGGTCAAGGGCATCGGCTTCCACAAACCCGCATGTTGTTTTTAATACTCTCTCTGAGGGTATCATGTGCTTGATATCAAATATGTGTCTTTTAATGCAAGAGTAGCCGAGTATATTAAGATCATAAGAGCAGGAACCTAATTTGATCATCAATTCCTAAGATTTTTGCATGTCTCGTAATTGCTGTATATGTTCCTAAGAATGAGTTCTTTAATACCTATTTAAATAAAGAAACAAACTTTTTTGATAAGTTTAAGCATTTTATCAGATTAAAAGTTCTTATAAATTTTAGAACTAGTGTCTAGACTTTTATTCTGGAAAATTGACTTTCTCTAGTATCTTTACTACTCTATTCTTATCAATTCCAAGACAGCCTAATATAATGTTTCTCAAAACTAAATGCTATCATTTATCATCTTTACCAAATGCTAAACTAACTTCACTTATTAGTTTCTGGGAACAGTCAGTTCTATATAGCATCTTTATGTTCTGGTTTCTGTTCTCGTGAAGAGAATTCAATTTGCGACCTGTAAATCCAACCTGTTGTCACATTTGTTATTGTGGCATTTGCTGTTTGCGTTATCTGCGAGACTTCGCACTTTGAAATGAAATCGCTTTGGGGCAACTGCCTTGGTGATTCACCAGCCAAGACAACAACAACCCCGCCTCGTGCCCGTGTCTCGTTCCCCGGCGATTCACGTGACGTTCAACTTGCGGGGGTATTTTTACTTGATTTTTTTTTTAATTTTTATAAAAACACGTTTTTATTTACATATTGCTTTAGTATTTGATTTGCTTTCAGACTTTTTCGCGCTATAATAAAGCACTTCAGTTAAATAAATTTGTTATGTCTGCTCATTAGCATACGGCCGTAAATTATTTGCAACAGTTTCACCTGAAACTCAAGCCGAACCAAATTCAACAAATTCGTCAATGCTACAAATTTTTAAACTATTGTATTATTGTTGAATAGTTTAACACATGTATGTATGTACACATGTACGTCTGTATTTACATATGTACATATATGTATGCTAATTACAAAATTCCAGCAGCAATTAGCTTTAGGGGTGGCGCATCATCTTTTTCAGTTAGACTTATAAATTACATGAATCATGCTGCATACCAAAACTAACAGCAGACAGCGGCTCCATAATTAACAAGCGTCGCAGTCGCTGTCTCTGTCGGTGTCGCTGTCGCCGTTACAGTTACAGTCGGCGTTGCTATCGCAGTCGCCGTTGAAGTTGCAGTCGCCGTTGTCGCTGGCGTCGCAGCTCCATTTCGAGACAGCGCAAACAATTATGGCACATAACTACAGTTTCTATATATAGAGCTAAACGACAAACAGTCAGCACTCGCATTGTTGTACACAATTCTTAAGATTTGATATATTTAACATATTTAAAATTAGCTTAATTTGTAAGTTTTTCATCTGTAACCAAAATAATCAATACTTGATTTTAAGCGTATGAAACATGAGAAGTTTTATTTTTTAAAGCATTAATTTATTTTTTAATTTTACAAAATTATAGATTTAAAACTTTACTTTGAAGCTCTTTTTATTTGTTACGAAAGAATTGTGTGAAAAAGCTTACTCTCTAAACTCAACCTTATTATTGAACCTAGACTTATTTTAAATATGTATGTATATACATATATACATGTAAGACAACAAATTGAAATACATAATGTAATTTTTAAAAGGTTTTAAATATCACATTTAGTAGCTTTTTTTAATGTCAAAGAACAAAAATATAATTTTTTCCCATGTGAAAACAGTTTCGTGTCAAACTGTTTCATGATACATACATATATGCATGTAGATACATACATATGTATCTACATATGTATATGCTAATTTAATATTTAATTTGCGATAACTCCACGTATAGAGTAATTAATTTGTTCTGTATTATTGGGAAGTAGCTAATTGCAGCACACATTAACGAATGTCTACTGTACTTAACTACCAACTAGACTAGAATGCCGCAACAAAATAAACCAACAACAACAGCATCAACTACAAACACATTTCACTTTCATTTAAAAGGGGGGCTTGTAAGCGTTTTTGATAGCCGCTCGGATGGATATGGACATTGGGACTGGGGACGGTTTTAACTATAGAGAACGACAGCGACGCCAGCATGAAAAATGAAAACGATATGTCCATGTATGGAGCGCAGCAACAAGCGGCAGCAACAATAAATTAAGATTCTATTTTTGTAGCTAACTTGAATTACAACGTTGCAATGCCGAGTGCTGCTGATGCAGCTGCTGGTGGTCAACTGGCCAACTGACCATGCAACAAGTTAGACCTAAAATAGAAGCGAAGTGGACACATGCGGAATCTGAATCTGTGAAGCACACACATATGCACATGCACGCATGCATGCATATGCATGCACAAGAACATGAAAATTAAAAATGCAAATAAATTGTTAACGATAAACGCGCAAAACTCCACATACACATGTGTGCGTGTATGCTGCGGGTGCGTATCTCTGCTTGCTCAACGGTCCACAGCAACAGCGGCGCTGACGGCAACGTCCGCCACTCGAGGAGGCCACTTCAGTCACGATTTCACATTGTTTGGTCAGCATTAAGCTGACTGAGCAGTCGCAGCGCAGCGCCATCAAGCGACGAGCCTCCTTCGCTGCGCACTGCGTCAAGTGGCTATCACAAGCTAATGTGTAAGCGTGTTTGTGAATATATGGCACATTTCTTGTTGTCTCTTTTGTGGTCATACTGGAAGCTAAAAAGTTGAAACTGTTTTTCGGCAGCAAAGCTTTTGGCTAGGCAGAAAGAGATGCAGCGACGCGTGCAGAAGTTCAACTTTGTGTCTTCTCTCTTTTTTGTGCAAACTGCGCAGTCGCGGCTCTGACATGAGACGAGCCTCCTTTGTGGTGCGCTCTCAACTGTGCAAGCGCATGTGTGTGTGGGAAATGATTTCTTGTGGAGTACACTCAAGAGAAAAAATTAGGTAAGCTGAGAGAAATAAAGCCTAAGTGCCGGCGAATCGAGAGGGAGACAAGGAGAGGTGATCTGTCTGCTAGTTGTCTTTGCTATTTACATTGAATCACCAAAAGGTGCAAGGGGTGCTTTGCTTACACGTTTAAACATCTGGCTTTCGCGGACATTTTATGCTCTATCCTCATGCGTTTCTTTATTATTATTTCTCCTGGCTATGCGCGTGAGCATGTTGTATACACTCAGGAAAAAAAGTTGGTTCAGTCGTGAGCAGACATTGGACAATGAGAGGTCGCGACAGCGAGGGTGGCTTGATTACACGTTTGAACACCTTAATTTCTTTCGGCTACTTTTTATGGTTTTCTTATGATTATTGCTACCAGCTTGTTTCGCTTAATTAATAAAAGACAAATTTCATGCCTTAACTGTTATAGCAACTTTATGAGAATTTACTGTTATATTGGATGGAAGAGAATAGGTCAAAATAAATTGAAAAAGAAATATTAATATGTTATAAAATACATTTTTTTATTTTTTTATAATTGATTGTTCTTAGCAAGAGTCAGTGTTAAACCTCATAAACGATTGTCTCATTGAGTTGACCTCATCATGGACGAAAAATATTATTATTTATTCTTTCATTTAAATTGTTTTTCTTTGATTAAGCGATTTTTTATCACTGTCCAGCCACAACTATAATTTTATATTAATTATAATAATTATCGTGCAATTTTTAAATATATATTTTAAAATAATATTTGAGTAATTTTATACGAGATTTTTTTTTGAACATTCCTCGTATATGTACATATTTCATTCCAGAACAAATGAGAATATTTCATTTGTTTCTTTTTTTTAGTATTGTTTTTTTTTACATATATATATTTTTTTTTCTATTTTTGCCTAATTCTATTTGCATATTAGATTTACGTACATAAGTATATCATTTATATTTGACAAATACACACAGCTTACATATGTTCTGATCTGTCTATTTTTGTTACGTCTGAAATACATGCGACTTGTTTGCACTTTTTCTATTTCTTTCTTTATTGTTTGCTTTGTTGTGCGTCAACAGCAGCAGTCGGGCCCCCTAATGAGGCCTATCTAGTATATAAATAATATATGTACGCACATACACATACATGTATTTCACAATTTCAAAAGACGTCAACTTGTTGTTGTTGCCAACGTCAAAATGGAAATAAAAATTAAAAATAAATACATATATTAAAGCCAATATAACTTATTTGAAACAGATCATTAAGCGAAACAACAAGAAGAAAAGGGAAGTTCGAATCACAAGCCATATTTAAAATCCATCCATAATATTCGCAGTTCGAGCGTCTGCTGATTGCTGAGAGTTCAATTTTGATTGATGTCTTGTTACAAAATAAAATTAACAAAATACATACATATATACATGTATGTCATAACAAAGAACTTGATCGAACGTCAACGTCATACATACAGAAGAGCTATAGTCGAAGGCTAAATACCCTTCTGGAAGAGAAGTCGAATCCTGACATTGAACAAGAGTTCATCAAATAGTTAACTGTAGAAGTGTGAAGAATCTCGGACGCTTCAAATTTAAGTGATTCGAAAAGCCATCTAAGCTTAAGATAGTACAGATTTTAGAATTTCAATAGAAATTTAAGAATTTCGAAATCGATCACTAGATCAGATCAACTGAGAAATCGATGTTATTTAAAGATAATTATAATAGATATTCTCGTAGCTTAAAATATCAACCAAAGCGTTAATAAAAATGTTTACAAATTCAAACTAAAATACAATACATAAAAAATATTGATCTGTACAAAGATATTCTAAAAATTTAACAAATATGTATAAAAAAGTGTTTAAAAGGATTTAAGCTAATTTAAATGACCTAAATATAATTGTCTTAGAATATGCATTGAAAATAATAAACTAAATAATATATTTTTGTTTATATTTTATGAACCATATAACCCATAATATTAAATTGTTTCCAATGGTTATTTAATATAGTAATCTGATTCACGAGCTTCCCACAGAATGTGCAATCAAATATAATGATTAAGAACTATTATATTACATCGATTTCGATTACCATTTAACGCATTTCAACAAATCAGGAAAATCAATTTATATACTATATACACATATATATGTAGCTCGATTTGCAGTTGACTGAACGTCAAGCTTATTACGTCTTTATAGAGTGTATGCAAAACGCATGTGAAGCATTTCCACTCAAATTGCACTGAGTAAAAATTCTAGATTTGTTTATTCGATGGCTATATAGTCTCTATATATATTTATACATACATATGTATTACTCTAGTGATTGCTGACGTACCAAGCGCTCTATTTATTATATTAAAGTCCAGCTCATTTCTACGTGGCTTTACGTCGAACTGGGAGCAAACTTAATTAACAAAAGAGGAAATGACTAGTAGGCTCACTAGAAAATTGGCTGTACGGCATATTAGAGTGGAAAGTCCATTTTCAAGTCAAGTGTATAAAAACTCACAGCAGAGAAAAAGAGATTAAAAATATATAATTAAAATATTGTGAAATATATTTTAAAATATTTCATTTTGTAGTTCTAGTCCACAGAGTTAAGGCAAATATTTTATTATATTTGGAAAAACTGTCGAAACTTAACGATTTTTTTTTTTTTTACCATTACCTTTTTTCGTTTTGTATTCCTAGTCCTTAGAGTTTATGCACATATTTTAAAACATTTTCCAATATATTTTTAGAATCTGATCAAAATTGTTTTACTATTTGTCACATTTCGTATTATGCCTTAATTTAGAATCATTTTTAAGATTTTTACCTAAAATTCTCAAATGTCAGATTTCATAGAAGTTCAAAGAGTAGTCGAGAGCCTGTATTAAAAACGTCTTTCAATATTTCTATCCCGCTAACAGTCTGCCCCTAGAAGATTTCCAAAAATGTCCTATTTCACATACCTACCATAGGCTCCATACGCCCTGTTTTCCCAACTCGCACAGGGTATAACAACTGCTGATCGTCACTTTGTATGCGACAAACCACAGTTCAATGTTGTCGTTGCGGCTGTTGCTGCTGATCCAATCGACTGCAATTCAAATGCGCATGGAAATGATTTAATCAATTGAATGATTTTTGCCTGGCAGAGAAATCGCTCAATTAATGGCAAAATGCGCAGCTCAAATGAGTTCAATTGCTCCCAATGGGCGTGTGGCGACAAGAGGGGGCGTGGCCGTGCAGCCATTAGACAACCCCCGGATGAGGATGTGCCGCGTGTGCCACTTGCCGCCAAGAGTTTCAACAGTTTTGCATTAATTAATTAACAACAATTTGCATTCAAGTTCAAAGCTATTAAGGCAGAGTAATCAAGCAAACCTATATACCCTATATATAGTATATAAACATGTAGGGATATTGTTGCCTGTAGAACTATGTATACTATGACCTTGAGTTTAAACAATTGCTTAGGATAATTTAAAACAAAAACTTACACAATTTGCAATTTACAATTTTTATTCTCAACATATAGGGAAACTCTTGTCTTGTAAAACTGCCGATTAATATGACCTTGTAGGTTTCGAATTCGAAATTAACATCTATTTAACTATTGCTTAAGAAAATTATAAAAACTTAATACAGTATCTAGATTCAAGTTCGAGCTGCACAGTAAAGTAAATACATTTTCCATTGTTGCATGAATTTTATAAATTCAAATCAAGTACAAACACGCATGAAACATTTTAAGGACATTTGGCAGTGTTGTTGGCGTTGTCAGAGTCGTTGCTTAGCTTCGTTTCGCTTTGATCAATGTCCTCTCCCACCTTCTCCTTCGCCTCCTGGCCACGTTCAGCCTCTGCTTGTCGCATTTGTCGCTCCAGCAGCGACTTTTCCCAGGCCAGCTCGAAAGGATATTCGAGCGGCTTCAGCTCATCCGGGCATTCTGTTTGATTGGGCACCGTTGCCTGATTGATGGAGGCGCCACGCGTATGAATGCGCTCCAGCATGGCCGCATTATGTGTTTCCGCATTCAGCGCGGTAATAAACTCGAACAGCTGCTCCTTGGTGTAGATGTTGGGCAGGCCGCGGCGCTCGAAGAAGCTGATAATGTTGTCGCAGTCACGCATCAGAAACTCTAAGCCGCTGGGATGTTCCGGTTCGACGCTCTGGGCCACATCGATGAACCAGCACTTACCCTCGTACCAGAGTATATTGTATTCACTGAGATCGGCATGCACCAGCTTCGCTTCATTGTACAGCTTATGCATGGCCGCCACGATTTCCTCGTAGGCACAGCTTAGCTCAGCGGCGCTCAGGCGCGCATCTTTCAGCTTGGGCGCGGCATTGTGATTGTCGCCGATGAACCGCATGACCAGGACATGTTTCTTCAGCACCACCACATCGGGCACATTCAGGCCAATGCTCTGCATGCGCATCAGATTGTGCATTTCCTTCTCTGCCCACATGTTAATGATGACGCGATGATTCTGCTTGCTGAAGCGATCCTTGAAGCGATAGTCGTCCTTGATATAGCGATCCCGCTGTTTGAACTCATTCAGCGTGGTCTTGAACACCTTGATGGCACATTCCTTGGGCAGCAGTTCAGCTGGCATCAGCACTCCATTGCCATGGCCGTGCTCGTTTGTGCCCGTGTAGCTGGCATCAGAGTTGGCGTGCAGAATAACTGCCTCCTTGCCGGTGGATATGATGCCATTGATTTGCTCCAATATCTGATTGTTTATTAACTTGTAGAGCAGCAGACGTGTGGCTGCATCCACGCCCATTTCAGCTGTGGCTACCTTTTCCTTGCGATCCGCACGACCACGACGCGAATAAGCTTTCAGCTGATTGAAGACCTGTTGGTGAAGTTGGATTAAATACAGTTAAATAAATGAATATGTGTATAAATACAAAAGAGAGTTGTATCTACTTTATTGGATAGCTTCATGTCGAAGCAGGCGCCATCACCCGTGGGAAACTCTGGCGGAAAGGACATCACACGCTGTGCATTTCGTACGCCGCACAGCTGTGGATCGTGCTTGGTTATCATTTCGCCCTCTTTGTCCAGTTTGAAGCCACACTTTGGTATGGCGTCTAGCATCTTTTCGTTCGTCTCAAAGCAATCCCAGTCCTGCTTGAGGCAAGTCAGCTCATCATCTTCGTCGTCTGCACCCGCTTCGGTATCGTGCAGAAACTCAGCATCTCCGCTGCGCAGAAATTTATTGAGCGTCACCGTGACCTTGGATTGTTTATTCTGTTGCCGTTCGATGCGTCGCAGCTCCTCGTTGTACTCGTGATCGAACTGAGACTGCAACATCTGAGCTATGACTGCATCCGACTCGGCTTCATCTTCCAGCAGGCTCAAAAGGCTCGCCGGCAACGGTTCGGCCTGCTCTTTACCCTCGTCATTGAGCAGCATCGAATAATCCTCCCATTCGCCTGCATCGCTGTTGAGCGTCGGCTTCTGGCTGGCTTTAGCAGATGTGCTGGCTACATTTGAGTAACTCTCAGCATTTGTGGGCGTGGCAGTGGGAAGTGTCTCGTTTTGTTGCTGCCTCTTTTGCTGTTGCTTCAGCTCCTGGTCGTGCAGCCGATGCGCATACTGTTCGGACATAATGTCCGCCAAGCTGATTGTCTGCACGGGCTCATTGCTAACCTTGGACCAAGGCGATGACATTCTATTGAACATACAAATCGAATATTATTATTTACAATTCACAGGAATTTTGAAAAAGACAAACTTTTTCTCAGGTTCGTTCGACTTTTATCCTTGGTCCCCTGTTTACTGTTATTGTATTACAATCTGACCAAGTTGCCTGCTAGGCCTTTTTGTTTTATTATATTGACAACACTATTGAAATTCTCTTCAATCACTTTTGGTTCCAACTTTTTGTGTTTCTCTATATTGTGAAATTAAAAGCACATTACATACTCCCAAGAGCTCTGTTATGCTGTGGAGTGATTATATTAGGCGAGGAGCATGGTAGAAGCAATTTATAAGGTGCGCTTACAAAAAAGGTTGGCATCGGTGTTCGAGATGAGAACGTTCTTATCATATCTAAGAGTTTTGTAAACCTAATGCTCTTCCCATATAATTAAACTGATGCCTCTATTGTGCAAAGTATTGTGTATGGTTACTATGAGTTAATGTTATTTAGAATCATTATGAAAATTACAGAACTGATGTCATAAATAAATGTGGTCACCACGACTATTGTTGTTAAGAAGTTTATATTAACCATCTGGCAGCACAGTCACAAATATCGATATGTAATCGATGTCGGAATTGCAATACAAAGTGGAATACGCAAAAGTATCGATGTCTTCGATACTTTTTGTTGTACTTGTACATTTTTCGCCAAAAATAATAATAAAAGTGAAAAGTTAATGTATTTTTGTTGTACAAATACATAGAAAATGTTGTTGAATTGATTGGCAAATTTGCCATAAAACGGCCGTAATAAAATAGAAGTGCAATACGTGGAAACGCTGGTAAGGGCTTGGAATAAAAACGCGTAGCAAACGCAGCACAAAAAAAGAAAAAAATCAAAATAGAATTCCGAATTTAGAATATGACAGTGACGGACCGAAAAAATTTTCGATTTGAACGCATTGCCTGTCCCCAAACGTGTGTGTGTGTTTCACTCTGTACATGTGTCTCTCTGTGTGTGTGTGTGTCGAGGGGGGAGACTTGGGGGTCAAACTTGGGGGAACAGAACCAGAAGCAGCGAAATACAGAAACACAGAGATCGGTAGAAGCAGCAGCCGCAGCAGCGACAGCGCCAACTGATTTCCGATTTCGTTTCGTTTTGCGCGCGAGACGAGAGTCGCCGTTGCCGCCACCACAGTCGTCGCTACCGCTGCCGCTGCCACCAACACCGCCACCACCACCTCCACCGTCACTAGACTCGTCAAATTTCTGATTTTCTGTGCTAATTTACGCTTAATTTGCGCCGCCTTTTGCTATTTGCTCTCTTCTGAGTGTGTGTTCGTGTATTTTCTACTATTATTATGTCTTTTTTGCTTCTCACTTGCTGCAACAGGACAGCCCGCTTTTTTTTCCATTCTTCTTGCTTGTGTGTGTGAGCGTGAGCGCAGCTACAGTCACAGCTTTCGTTATCTCGCCGTAACGCAGCTTTCTTCGCCTCGCTTGGCGAAATACTTTTTTTTTTATGCACGTAGCCGCTAAGTGCATGAAAAAGGAAGTTAGCTTTGCATGCCATTGCTATATGTATTGAAAAGTCGTACACCCGACCGTGTAAGATGTTTGAAATCTTTGAAAATCAACTCGCATAATATTAAATAAAAATATCTAAATTTAGGTTATGTTATGTTGTTTTTCAAATTTTACTTGAAAATTATTCCTATCGTCCAGTATTTGATCATTTTTGGATTTGGACATAAAACTGATTAACTTTTATCAAACTTTAAAAGTGATTAGATTATGTTAAAAAATGTTAAATTATGTTCATTTTGATCAATTTAGAAATTTGGTTTAAAATATATTGAAGAAAAATAAGTTTTATTGATGATTTATTTTACAATAATGATCGACTTTAATATATATTTATTCGAAATTAATTTTTTAAAAAGATCATAAATAATCTAATTTTTAAATGTTATTATTTGCGAAGTAATTGAAAACGCATACATCATAAAGAACGGTTGGAATTCTATTAAAAGCAAAACAATCAATGAAATGATTTCTTATATAGAGTTTTATATGTATAGTCATGACTTCAAAGAATTATACCTGAAATTAATCATTACTCGGATGTTACTTCTCAGGTATTGCTAGCATGTTGAGCATGTGAACATGTAACACAGAAGAAACATTTGAATGCGAATTTTCTTAGTTGGGCTACGCTTAACGAACTAATTAATATGAAATGCTGAGTTTTTGCCTGAAAAATGCATCATTACAGAACTGGTGCCGCAGGAAATACACGCGCATACCTAAGCCGCTTACTAAACTAAACTAAAAGTAAAAAAAAACTACTCAGCAATAAGATATATTAAGCCTGCCTGACTGCTTGTCTGCCTGCCTGACTGCCACAGCTTGAAGAGAGAAATGTTAAAGTCTAGCACAAACCCACAGGAATTGCGTCTGCCACGCCCCGAGGAACACCATCAGCCGCATCCGCACACGCAGCAGGGACAGCCGACGCATCAAGTTGCCGCCGTGATAGCCAACAATATAACGTCTGCAGCAGCCGCAGCCGCCGCCGCAGCAGCAGCCGCAGCAGCAGCAGGAGGAGGAGGATCAGCAGTAGTCCCCACCAGCCACAGCATGGACACGCTTAAGACAACATTTCTTCCCAATCTGAGTATGGATCCGAATGTCATTAGTCCGCACTACTGCCCCATGTGCCATCAGCAGTTCGAGCGCATCCAGCATGCGGCCGAGCATATGCAGCTCTGCCATGGCATCTCACTCAATGCCCAGAGCGCTCTCATCGAACAGCAGCAGCAGCAGCATCAACAGCAGCAGCAGCAGCAACAACAACAGCAACAGCAGCAGCAGCAGCAACTGAAGCCGCTTAGCTATGCGTGTCCCAACTGTGATGATAAGTTTGCTAGCGCGCTGGAGGTGGATGAACACCATCGGCTGACGCATCAGACGGCATTTTTAGCGCGCTGCATTGTGTGTAGCGTTTATGGTGTCAATTCTGTGACGCAGAATCCCAACGAATATAAATGCGCGCACTGTGGCAACGTGTTCAATGCGGCGATGTTGGCAACTGGACAGCAGGCGTTTATGGATCATCAGGAGGCACCGGTGACGCCGGATGAAATGCCAGCTATAGCGCCACGTGATATGAGACTGACGCCCGAAGAGCAGCAGCACCAGCAGCAACAACAACAGCAGCAGCAACAACAACAGCAACAACAACAGCAGCAACAACAACAACAACAGCAGCAAGTGCAACACCATCAGCAGGATCACCATCACCAGCAACTCGAACAACAGCAACAGCAACAGCAGCAGGAGCAACAGCGACAACGTGAACTCCAGGAGCAACAGCATCAGGAGGACCTGAGCGATCCGTCAACGCAGAAAGTGCCGCCTCTGACAGTGAAACTGCTAAAGAACGGCACTGGAGCAACAGTAGCACATCCGCAGGTACGATTTGCTCATGGTATACCATCGCTATCATTATTATATTAGCTAGTTTATTGTACCATTTCTTCTAGTCTCTTTTGACTTTAGTATATAAGTGTAAAATATCCATTTTAAATACATCTACTTCACTTGATTGCAGGTCATCATTAAGGAGGAACCACTTAGTTTGAGCGATAGCGGCGATGTGGTCAATTCAGTGCCTGTCTATGCCATACAAGCGAATCCTGGTGTCCAGCCGGCGGGCACAACTGGCGCCGCCACCAGCGTCCTGGTTAGCACGCAGTCGGTGCCCGCGGATCTGGCGCATAAGATCCGGCACAAGTGTCCCGATTGCCCCAAAACATTTAAGACGCCCGGCACGCTGAACATGCACCGCAAAATACACACGGGCGAAGCAGAGTAAATTCCACATTTATACGCTAATCTATTGAAAGAAAACAACACAAAGATGCATATGCTGCAAGCAGACTCTCGCAGTAGTCAAAGAAATTGAGAGCGAGAGCGAGAGCAGAGATCTTGATCCGAATTCTTGATTATTTGCTCAGCTCCGCTCAGCTCTTGGGCTTAACTGTTGAACGGTTGTTGGCAGCATCTTGCTTGATATTATTGTTTAACCAATTTGCCATTTATTTACTATATATATACATATATATTTTTGTTTGTTTTCCTTAAGATCAATCCCGAGGCTGAGCGCATGGGCGCGTTCTTCAAGTGCCATGGGACGTGGCCCATGCGCTCCAAACGTTGTTATTGTGTTTTCTCTCTATATATATATATTTCTCTCTCTCTCTTTCTCTTTCTCTTTGTTTAAGTGTCCAATGAATTATTACTCAGATAATGAATGTTACTAATCAAATTATTCTCATCTTTTTCTCTCTCTTGTTCTTTTTTTCTGTTTTTTTTTTTACCCTGCACTGCAAATACTCTAAAAATATTGTAAAAAAAAAAAAAAAAAAACAGCGCCACGCCCAAAGAACGCCCCTACACGTGCTCCTACTGCGGCAAGTCCTTCACTCAATCGAATACACTAAAACAGCACACTCGCATACATACAGGTGAGAAACCATTTAGATGTGGCTTTTGTGGCAGGGCGTTCACTGTTAAGGATTACCTGAACAAACATTTAACGACTCACACGGGTGAGAAGCAATATATTTTCAAATCAAATCAATTCAGTCAGTCAATCAATCAATCAATCGACTCTCAAATCAACTCAGTCAATCAATCAATCAATCTCAACTCAACTCGACTCGTTCAAAGTGCAAATACACCAATACAAAAAAAAAAAAAAAAAAAAAAAAAAAAATTAAATAAAAACAATCTTCAATTAAAAAAAAATATACTTAAATAAAAAGTAAACTCTTATGCAAATTGCCTTCATACCCATTTGTCATACCAAATACTCAATATTCAATATATACTCAGTACTCGATACTTTCTCGCTCTCGCTCTCGCTCACAAACACAAGCAGACACGCACACACAATCACACGCATACACACACACAGTGACGCCGAAGAGCATGGCAAAGCGTAGACCACACAGAGTCCACATGATCCACAAAAAGTACAGTTGCGATCGGTTGGTGCTAAAGTTGTGCTGTCATAAATTGTTTGAAGAATTTTGATTAAACCTGGTTCGCATTTGCCATAATCTTCGATTAGTCAGCGCACAAATGCAAAATTTCAAAAATTGAAATAATAAATAAAAGTACAAAAATACGATGCTTTAGCTACTTGCAGCAGAATTAGAAATTATGTTTGTATGAAAGGTATAAAATTAAACAGATCATTAAATGTGATAATGCAATTAATATAAAGCTTTCAGAGTTGGAGATATTCTATATATCTTATACAAAAAGTTATATAAATCTATAGTAAGACTTGATCTAGTCGACTATTTATATGTTTATAGATCTGTCAAGATGAAATCATTTAAGTTTTTATACCATTTTATACATACATAGTATTAAGTTTTTCTGCAAGTACATAATGAATAACCAAATGATAAAAAGCGAGTAAAAGTAATACCAGAATAATTCCAAAAACAACGTATCGCCCCGCCTCATCTCATTACGTAATAATATGTCTATAAAATGCATTTTAACACCCAAATCCAACAAAATATATATATTATGTACACAACATATATCATGCATAACTATATATATATATATATATTAGTTTGATGATTACGTGCAAATCAATATATATGTATATATATCTATATAATATATATATTATATATATTTACTCTGTACCAAAATCTATCAAACGAAACGAAAGTTTTTGTTGGAACTGCACGGCATCAAAAAAACCAAAAACAAAAGAAAGGCATAAAAGTGTGCGGTGCAGCCGTTTGATAAATGCTAATCCATAGAATTGTGTATTGTTCGTAATTGCAGGTGAAAAACCGTTTCATTGTGGCTACTGTGAGAAGTCCTTCAGTGTGAAGGACTATCTTACGAAACACATACGCACACACACCGGCGAAAAGCCGTACACCTGTCCGTACTGTGACAAGCGATTCACGCAACGCAGCGCACTCACCGTGCACACGACAAAGCTGCATCCGCTCTAGGATAGGCCCAGCGGTGGCCGGACCATAGTTGACCCAAAGAAACCCACACAAGATGAGAATGTGGCCTAAAACATAAAAGCAAAAAGATAAAAAAAACTGAAACTGAAACGAACTGGATTGCGACGATTTAATAATTGGAGCAAGTGGAGCAACTGTAATGAAAGACCTTTCTAAAGACGACAACAATGATGGGGCGGATAGATGGATGTACGGATGGATGGATCACAAGCAACCAACGACTGGCAAATCTTCGAAGTGCTGCTAGACTCTAAATTAGAATTTTTACTATCAAGCCGGAAATGAAAAAAAAAAAAAAAAAAAAAACAATACTTATAGTAACAAATTGTACTACAATGGCGTTTTCTATTGTTAAGTTCATTCAAAACGATATTTGATTTTCCTTTTATTTTTATATTATATATATATTTATATATATAAACTTTGTCATGTCATGTCTTATAAGTCATAATTTTGTTATTCTCTGAGATTTTAATGCATATTATTTTGTATCGTACTTGTTAATCCTTTTTTTATAGCGCACACTCACACCTGCGCACTCACACAGCCCCAAACCTACACCTACACCTAAAACTACAATTACACCTAGACCCGCATATATATATTATTTATACATTATTAAGAGAAGTATATATTTTTCTATCAATTATTCTTATATTTTTTAAACTTGTTTCAAGCTAAAACTCATGTTGACGATATTTTTACCTACGCGCAAAACTTAAATTAATTTGTTTTATAAACATTTTGCACACTAAATTCGATCAAAAAAGAAGAAAAAAAAAAAAAAAAAAAACAACAAACTCTCAAGTTATTTATTCTCATACTTGAAAAATATGATACATTTTTCAAAATTTTTACTAAAAAAATCCTTACATAAAAAGGAATGAAAAGAAACGCTTTTTGCTTCATTTGCATACGAGCAGGATCTCGTTTGTTTGGCTTTAAAATTATTTACGAATTATAAATTATGAAAATTGTTTATAAAGTAATTAAAATTATAATTAATATTGCTTAGTGATTTATTTAATATTGTTTGTTTTTTACTTTTTTCTTTTCTTTTTTTTTTTATCAATTGATCTGCTTAACTGGTTTTGTACATTCTAAATGATAACCCGATTTGTTTGTTATAAATTATTTAAGTTCTTTTTTAAGCGCATTTCGAAACGCAAGACAAAAAGTATTTAAGAGCAAATTTTATATAGAACGAAAATGAAATCTATGCAAAACGCAACACAGCTTTACGCGCCAAACTAGTTTAAAAAAAAACAACAACAATATATATACACATAAATCTATTAACAATTTTTGATAAACTAAGCTTTTAAAAAACAAAACACAACTAAAACAGTCGTAACGTAACAAGCTTATATACATATATAAACAAATATATATATAATAATTGTTTTTGTAATATATGATAATAATTAATAGTTTTTTTGAACAAGATTTAAAAGATTTTTAATCAATCAATTTACTTGCAAGTTGTATGTACTAAAAACTAATTACTAATTTAACTAAACTGTAGCAAATGGAAAACATAAAAACAAAACGCAACCAAAACCAATTGTAAATTTTTACAAAGCAGATATAGTGTTATATAAATGTATAATGTACATCTAATATTATAACTATATATTATTATTAATACACTCAAACAAAAAGTCTACCTACACACACTCACATACACACATATAGGCACAGCAACAAAAACAAATGCGCAGCGCATGTAAAACCAAAATAAATTCTAAGTAATTAACTAATTATTGTAATTTTTATTTAAGTTTTAATAAACCAAGTTGACGATCAAAAGCAACCAAAAAAACAAAACCAAACGCAAAGCTCGCTTCTCTCAAAAACAAAGAAAACAAAAAACAAAAGAAAAATAAATAGAAATAATAAAAGCTAAAGTGAGAAACGAAAAGAAAAAAAATCGATACGTACTAAATGCAAATAATAACTGCTAGATCCTAACTAAGTTAAACTAACTAATTAACTAACTACGAAATGATGGCGAACAAAGCAAGCAAAGTGAGTAAATAGTCTTAAAAATTGTAATTAAAGTTATAATTAAATTTAAATAAAATTAATTCATAATTTGTATGCAATTTGCAATCTAACAAAACGAAAAACTGAAGAAGACAAATGACAAAAAACAAAACTCTTGAAATCATGTTCAAGCAATATTTCAATTAAATTTAAAAAATAAGGAAATTAATTGAAGAGATCTATATACATATATAGTATACTATAAACGAATAAAGGTCCGAATTGTAGAAATATTATAAGAGCAGCGTTTGTATCAGATTGTCTTCGGATATATTGACTGGGTTTTGTATATAGGAATATACTTACGTTGAAACTAGCTTCGATAGGATCGATGATATAAGTGAGATGATGTATGTAGATAATAGACGATATTTCGCAAGTATGATTAGATTCTAGTATTCTAGTATAGCTGTCAATTCTCTTTGAAGCCATCCAAGTTTTCTATTCAAAGTTGTACGAAGAAGATGTACAAAGTACAAGCGAAAAGTTGAGAAAAAGGAACACTATCACTGCCTGTTTCTATGTATAAGCTGCGTGTGTACCTAATTGTACAGATTCATCTTATATATGTTATATATTTGCTGGTATAATAACTTTTTGTATATGCTATGTTTACTACTGTATATCATATATGAGTATTAGAATACTATAGGTCTCCTAGTGTATATAATAGAGTATACCTGGTTAGTTCTTTATGACCTCTTAGCCATATGTATACTGTAGTCTGGCAAATTACCTTCTGATAAAAGTACCCAAATATATATTAGATCTTGTCAGTTATGTCATAAATGTGGTATATATAGCTCTCCTAGAAGAAGACACTCAAAGAGAAGTTCTCTATGAAGAGCACGAAAGTTACATTTTTGCAATGATTTCCACTTTCCCCTTAAAATATCTTTTTGCAACTCTTTTCACTTCTCTCTTCTACTTTTAAATAGAATACACAGTTTAAATATTTGATTTAATCATTATTTATGTTTATTAGTATCATTTTTTGTTGTCGCTCTTTTGGGTTTTGTTCTTTTTCTTTTCTATTGTAATTCATTTTTGAAAATAATTTGTGTTACAATTTTTTTAATGTTAGATTTCATTTTTTCTTTGCCCTGCTTTTGTCTTAAAGGGGAATACATGTAGACAAAGGATTACAGTTTGTAATTATCGCGTGATTGGATTTTTTTTTCTGCTTCTTTTATTACATTTAATTACAATGAACGAATATTATGAACACTATCACACTTGCAAAATTTGTTTTTTTCTTTTTGAATTTTTGAGAAATATTCTTTTGCAATGAGCAACTAAATTTTAGTATGCCATCTATTTTTATTTGGTATTATTTCATATTTATTTTTTATTACTATTTCTTAAATTTGTTTGTTTTTTTATTGTAATGCTGATACACACACATACATTATTTTCAATTACATACATTCCTATATAATTTATATATTTATGTATATATGCCATTTAGTTCAATATATCAATATTTTATACACATAGCTCTTTGATCAAACGCAATCAAAAAGTTGTTTTAAATTTTTATTTATTTTTTTAAATGCTCAACTTGTTGCATGCATGTTTGTCTGTGAGTGTGTGTCTGTGTTTGTTTTTATCTAACTTCCAAATATTTTCCAATCTTTTAGGCTTATATATATATATACATATATACCTCATATAAATGCCTGTGTACTGTATACTGTATATTTTTTGATGGATTTTGAAATCTTCCTTGTTCTCATTTATTTGGACTTATCTATTCTGAATTATTTTCGATTTAAATGTCTTATGTGGCTATCGGAGTAATACAATTTCAAAATACATTTCAAATGTATTTCGTTACTTTATTAGCAAAAAATAATAATAATTTGTTGAAATAAAATGTTCATTTTGGACAAATGTTTTCCTTTATTTTTTATTTTTCTTTTAGCTACTAGACTATTATTAACATTCAGAACGATCGTTAAACCTGCCCCGCCCCCCATAGTTTTAAACTGTAAAATTATACAACAATTTAATAATTTATTTATTTTTTTTCAATTTTTTGTTCGCTCTGTCAGAAAGTTAACAAGTGCCTCGCTTTGATCTAGTATTTTTTTGTTATTATTATAAGTTTTTTGTTTTTTTTTTTTTTTTTTCAATTTCGCATACTTCAGATATGCGCATAAATCATTATGCATCTGCATATATATGTATATGCATGTATTGGTATAGTATATACAAATATTCGCTATACGCTGATTAGTTGCTGTGGTTTTACAATATATCTTTCAGTATATTTATATATATATATATAATTATATAAAGTACATACATATTTTAAAGTCTAGGCGTCGATTGTGTAAGTTGTTTAGTTAATGGGGGAAGGAGTGTGGGGGGGGGGTTGAGGTTTAGGAATTTCTAGTATGTGTATAAGTAAGTATTGCCTATAAGCTCAAATTTACAACTGATTTACGACCATTAGGAATTGTCTTTTGAGTTTTTCATTAGATATTTTTATTGCGGTTGACAAATGAAAGGTAAATTATGAAACATATATTTTCTTTAGTTACTTTCAAGGAACTCAGTTGAAATTATTTCAAATAACAGAGAGTAAAACAAGCAGTGTAAGAAAACTTATATTGCTGCAACAGTTTAACGTTTACCTACACAGGTGGGCTCTGTTTTCAACTCTTCTATTTCAATTTGATCATCGTCTTGCTCTTGTCACATTTGAATAAATGAAAAACAAACAAACAAACCACACGCACAAAAACAGCTCTTAAAAATTTATCAAAATTGTACAAAAATTCATTTTCACATTTTATTTTGTTGTTATTCAACACTGCTCCATGGCACACTCTTCTTCGTCTTCTTTTTCTTTGTTAAAATAAAGTAATGTTTTTTATTGTTTGTATATTTTTTTCTTTAATATATTATATTTTTAGTATATATTTTTTTAACATTTGCTCATTCTCATTGCAAAAAATTAAAGTAATTTCTTTTATTGTTTGTGTTGTTGCGCTATTTGTTATAATGCTGCACCTAATTCTCAGTTACATACATTCACATATATATATATATATATATATATATATATATATATATATATATATATATATATATATATATATATATATATATATATACTATATATGTATGTGTATATAGCATTAATATATACCTAGTTTTTCTTTTGTGTTTCTATCTTCCTTTGAGTTATTTACAAGTATTTGGGGCGCATCGTTCAAGGTTTATTTGGAGTGCGAGACAACGGAATGCGATACCATTGAATGGGATAGCATTGAATGCGATATGCCCGATATTTCGGCATAGGTATCTGTCGGCCCCTCACCACTGCAAACTGAGTCCTCGGGCGTGCGTGATGGCTCCGCTTCGGTTATCTCAATATCCTGATGATGCTTATTGCTGCGATGTTTGGCACTTAAAGCCTGCGAAAGGTTTTTCTACATATTATATAGGGCAGTTTCTCGATTCAGCAATATAATTTTGTTGAGTGCATTTGTTAGTTCTTTTGTTGAATATATTTCTTTTATTTTAGATTTAGTTTAGATACGAGTATGTATGAAGTGCTATTGGGTGTGCATGCATGTTTAGGGGACACTGTAGACAGAGACTCAGAGGACACAAAGGTACAATCAGCTATTTTATTTTTTAGTGGGTTTTTTGGTAGATTAGGCCTGCATGCTCAGTGGTAGTTGAAGACTTAACGATATGTTACGTTGAGTTAGGCGCTATAGACAAACGTGCCCAATTTATACTTTAATTAATTATTATTATTATTTTTTTTTTTTTTTTAGGTTAGGCACAACACATAGTTAGGTTATGATTTAGATAGAATTTTCTTTAGGTTAGCTTTACGTGTATTAAACAGTGAGAGAGACAGACAGAGAGAGAGAGAGACTGACGTTGCTTACCTTATCTTTGCTGCCCTTTTTCTACATATAGTTTATTTTTTGGTTTTTGTTGGTGGGTTTGAGTTTTTGTTTTGTTTGTTTCATTATATAGTACAAGTCATGACAAGAACAATGATATATGTATATAGATATTTCAATTAATATTCATATATATTGACACAGAAATATTTTACAAGTGAAAATGGAGTTTAAGATAAAGAGAGAAAAAAGAGATATATAGATAGAAAGTGGGAGAGCTTGGGCTTTGATAGGGGGCTCGGGCTGGGGAAACTTGGTTTTTGCGTTTTAAAAACATCGAGACAACTTTTGGCTTTGCTTTGCAAGTAAGAGCTTTGTTCATTTCACTGGCTGGACTGGGCCTTGATGTAAATGTATTTTACAGTGAAGACGCTGACTTGACGGCCAGTTGATCTTCAGTCACTTACTTGCAATGAGAAGCGGCGGTGACCCGCCTTGCGACCGCCGCGCCTTTTGCTAATGTGCGGATTATCCTGGCGCAGTGTCTTGTTCTTCAGTATCTCCAGTTGTGTGTACAGTCTACAGTCGAGCGGAACGGAATGGCAATGAAACGTGAACGTAATCGGTACGGTTAATGGCGCTCACCTTTTGAGTTCGGCACGTATATCCTCGGGACTCATTTCGGATATGGTCAGCTCACCAATGTCGGGATCGCCCAGGCACAGGCCCGCATAGCCGCCGCCCAAACGCTGGCCGGCATCGTGTGACGTACCCTTGAAAGCATCCACAGGTAAACGCATTGATAGATCATACGCAAGCGAACGAACCTGCAAGCTATGAAGATGCAACAAACACCGCAAACCACACACTCAGCGTACCGTACGAAAACGGAACGGAACGGAACGGAAATGAAAACGGAAACCGAAACAAAAACGGAAAAGCTAACGCTTAACGTTTGAAACAGTTGAAACGGAAATGGTTAAGGAAACGGAAATTTTAACTGAACATCAAGGGTTAACGTATAGAAAAACAAAATTTATAAATATTGAGAATTGGTAAAAGTATAGAAGAAATTTTTAGTGCGCTTTGTGTCAAATTGTGGAATGTGTAATTGTGTATGGAATTTGTATGATTACTCTCAGAGAAAATGTATATAAAAATCTTGTAATTTTTAGTGTGAGTGACTTGAAAAAGTATATACTTAGAAATTTAGTTTGTAAACTTGATAGTTTTCTTATTGAAAGTTTAATAGAGTTTTTTGTTGAACTTAAGTTAAGAGATTTGCTTTTCAGCTTATAACTTTTAGATTTTAAATTTTGAGGTAGTTTTTTTCTCTGAGCTTTTGTATGGCTTATTAGTGTGATTTTATAAATGTGTGTCTGTTGGGGCGTGGGCGTGGTTATGTCTCTTGTGGTGCTGTAAATGAGATAAACATAGGTCAAAATCTAAACTTAAATAGCGACGAGACTAAACGTTACTTTGGACTTTGGCTAAGAGAACTACTTTAGGTTAGAGAGATAGACGGTGAGTAGCATGGGTTAACAAAGAATTACAGAGAGAGAGGCAGAGCGATAGAGAGAGAGAGAGCGCAAGTGAGAGACACAGAGTTATAGATTATAATGTGGAAGAAGAAGAGAATACTCTATAGTTTTGGTATACATGTTGGGTATTAAAGGAAACCGATTTTTGTCATTATAAATTGTATGGTTGTCTTAGCTGTAATGTGTTAAGTAAATGCATGCACTCACACACAATCGCACGCATGCAGCCATAGTGTTGGTTAACGTCTTAATTAAAGAAAAGCGAATACAGTTGTGCGAACTTAAGAGCTCGGGTGCAGTTAGAACGAAATAAAACGCAACACGAGATGAAATCAAGAACTTCGATAAATACATACAGTAAACATTCGGGTACAAAAATGACACTTGCAGCAACTTCATAGCTTGACTAAAATTCATGAAAATGTTAGCTTAATACTAAAATTGTATTTTGTAACTCCAAAAAATGAATAGAAACCATAATGAATTCAACTCGACAAATTATAATTTATTTTTTTTTGTTTGTTAATTCTATGAAATTAATTTTGTATTTAGCAAAAAGCTTTCTTCGGCGTTTTCAAATTACAGTTTGATGTTTATTTTATTTATTTATTTATTTAAATTTTTTTTACAAAAATCGTTTCCTCAACCAAATGTTAATACCAAATACAAGAACGAGTACGATTTACGATTTACGATATATTTGGACCAATACAAGACGAGACGAGACAAGCGACTGCGGACAAATGATCACAAACTGAGCCTACGGCGGGAATATCTCAACTTTCTAGGTTATATATATGTATATATACATACATATATATAAATATGTAATATTGTATATGGTATATGTATTTAACTCGAACAAACTTTGAACGCACTTTTTCCAATTAAATTCTTTTTTTTTTTTTTTTTGTTCTTTTGTTAGCAAGAAATAAATCTCAATGTTAAACCAAATGTTAATTGTAAATCATATGAAAAACTTAAGCGACGTAAATAAAATTGTCAACAAATTGTGTTACCTGCTTGTGCTGATACCACAATTTTGGCACAAATATCAAACCCAAGGCGAAGCTATTCGTCAGCTGCGAGCGCACAAACAGCGCCAGCAAAATGGCGCTGGGACTCATTTCCGGCAAATAGAAAAAGCGCAGAAAATAGAAACTGGACGACACAAGGAACTCCAGCGTTAATGTTGTCACCAGAAATTGACGCTCCTGCAAAATGTAAGAGTGGTAAAAATAAAGAAGTCAAATTTAAGAAGAATATTATCAAGAAAATTTTGTTTTGTGTGAAGACGAAAACAGAGAGAGAGATAGAGAGAGAGAGAGATTGTTAGGAAATTAAATCTTATTATAGATAAAATATAATTAGGAAACAAAATTTTGTTGTTTTCCTTATACTAAAGATACATATAACGATTTTCATTAGCTCTAGTTTGATCTCTGTTAGAAATTTTAAAATTTATTAATTTGAATTTATATCTATGAGCCTTAGATATAAATTCAAATTAATAAATTTTCAAATTTCTAACAGAGATCAAAGTAGAGCTAATGAGCTAATATTAATAATTTTATTATTCTTTTTTATTGCTTACATTCGCTTTAAATGATAAAGGTTTCAATTATCGATATTTATCGACTTTTTATCTGAATATATTTTCAATATAAAAAAAAAAAAAAATGTATCTCTATGAACTTGTACACTTTATTTTTAAACTCTTTCGTGTATATTCGAGATATGTCAATGATCTCTTAATGGGTTCAGGGTATAAAAACAAGATGTGAAATTTGTTTTTTGTTTTTAATCGATTTTAACTGAATAGAGATAAGCTTCATTTAGAAGGACATCAAATTAATGTCGTTTGCTCACCCGAAACTGTGTATTGGCATTGCGACTGGCAATGGCCAAATGTAGGCCAAAGCAGAGGATGAGCATCTCGCTGGTCTGCGTCACCAGTTCCCATTTGAGAGGATGGCAGGTGTTGGTGCTGACCTCTCGCAGACTTTCCAACTGGGCGCTCTCCAGCAGATCGAGCGACGAGGCCGTGAACGCGGACATATAACAGATAACGGCAAATATTTGATTTAATCATTATTTATGTTTATTAGTATCATTTTTTGTTGTCGCTCTTTTGGGTTTTGTTCTTTTTCTTTTCTATTGTAATTCATTTTTGAAAATAATTTGTGTTACAATTTTTTTAATGTTAGATTTCATTTTTTCTTTGCCCTGCTTTTGTCTTAAAGGGGAATACATGTAGACAAAGGATTACAGTTTGTAATTATCGCGTGATTGGATTTTTTTTTCTGCTTCTTTTATTACATTTAATTACAATGAACGAATATTATGAACACTATCACACTTGCAAAATTTGTTTTTTTCTTTTTGAATTTTTGAGAAATATTCTTTTGCAATGAGCAACTAAATTTTAGTATGCCATCTATTTTTATTTGGTATTATTTCATATTTATTTTTTATTACTATTTCTTAAATTTGTTTGTTTTTTATTGTAATGCTGATACACACACATACATTATTTTCAATTACATACATTCCTATATAATTTATATATTTATGTATATATGCCATTTAGTTCAATATATCAATATTTTATACACATAGCTCTTTGATCAAACGCAATCAAAAAGTTGTTTTAAATTTTTATTTATTTTTTTAAATGCTCAACTTGTTGCATGCATGTTTGTCTGTGAGTGTGTGTCTGTGTTTGTTTTTATCTAACTTCCAAATATTTTCCAATCTTTTAGGCTTATATATATATATACATATATACCTCATATAAATGCCTGTGTACTGTATACTGTATATTTTTTGATGGATTTTGAAATCTTCCTTGTTCTCATTTATTTGGACTTATCTATTCTGAATTATTTTCGATTTAAATGTCTTATGTGGCTATCGGAGTAATACAATTTCAAAATACATTTCAAATGTATTTCGTTACTTTATTAGCAAAAAATAATAATAATTTGTTGAAATAAAATGTTCATTTTGGACAAATGTTTTCCTTTATTTTTTATTTTTCTTTTAGCTACTAGACTATTATTAACATTCAGAACGATCGTTAAACCTGCCCCGCCCCCCATAGTTTTAAACTGTAAAATTATACAACAATTTAATAATTTATTTATTTTTTTTTCAATTTTTTGTTCGCTCTGTCAGAAAGTTAACAAGTGCCTCGCTTTGATCTAGTATTTTTTTGTTATTATTATAAGTTTTTTGTTTTTGTTTTTTTTTTTTTTTTCAATTTCGCATACTTCAGATATGCGCATAAATCATTATGCATCTGCATATATATGTATATGCATGTATTGGTATAGTATATACAAATATTCGCTATACGCTGATTAGTTGCTGTGGTTTTACAATATATCTTTCAGTATATTTATATATATATATATAATTATATAAAGTACATACATATTTTAAAGTCTAGGCGTCGATTGTGTAAGTTGTTTAGTTAATGGGGGAAGGAGTGTGGGGGGGGTTGAGGTTTAGGAATTTCTAGTATGTGTATAAGTAAGTATTGCCTATAAGCTCAAATTTACAACTGATTTACGACCATTAGGAATTGTCTTTTGAGTTTTTCATTAGATATTTTTATTGCGGTTGACAAATGAAAGGTAAATTATGAAACATATATTTTCTTTAGTTACTTTCAAGGAACTCAGTTGAAATTATTTCAAATAACAGAGAGTAAAACAAGCAGTGTAAGAAAACTTATATTGCTGCAACAGTTTAACGTTTACCTACACAGGTGGGCTCTGTTTTCAACTCTTCTATTTCAATTTGATCATCGTCTTGCTCTTGTCACATTTGAATAAATGAAAAACAAACAAACAAACCACACGCACAAAAACAGCTCTTAAAAATTTATCAAAATTGTACAAAAATTCATTTTCACATTTTATTTTGTTGTTATTCAACACTGCTCCATGGCACACTCTTCTTCGTCTTCTTTTTCTTTGTTAAAATAAAGTAATGTTTTTTATTGTTTGTATATTTTTTTCTTTAATATATTATATTTTTAGTATATATTTTTTAACATTTGCTCATTCTCATTGCAAAAAATTAAAGTAATTTCTTTTATTGTTTGTGTTGTTGCGCTATTTGTTATAATGCTGCACCTAATTCTCAGTTACATACATTCACATATATATATATATATATATATATATATATATATATATATATATATATATATATATACTATATACTATATATGTATGTGTATATAGCATTAATATATACCTAGTTTTTCTTTTGTGTTTCTATCTTCCTTTGAGTTATTTACAAGTATTTGGGGCGCATCGTTCAAGGTTTATTTGGAGTGCGAGACAACGGAATGCGATACCATTGAATGGGATAGCATTGAATGCGATATGCCCGATATTTCGGCATAGGTATCTGTCGGCCCCTCACCACTGCAAACTGAGTCCTCGGGCGTGCGTGATGGCTCCGCTTCGGTTATCTCAATATCCTGATGATGCTTATTGCTGCGATGTTTGGCACTTAAAGCCTGCGAAAGGTTTTTCTACATATTATATAGGGCAGTTTCTCGATTCAGCAATATAATTTTGTTGAGTGCATTTGTTAGTTCTTTTGTTGAATATATTTCTTTTATTTTAGATTTAGTTTAGATACGAGTATGTATGAAGTGCTATTGGGTGTGCATGCATGTTTAGGGGACACTGTAGACAGAGACTCAGAGGACACAAAGGTACAATCAGCTATTTTATTTTTTAGTGGGTTTTTGGTAGATTAGGCCTGCATGCTCAGTGGTAGTTGAAGACTTAACGATATGTTACGTTGAGTTAGGCGCTATAGACAAACGTGCCCAATTTATACTTTAATTAATTATTATTATTATTTTTTTTTTTTTTTTAGGTTAGGCACAACACATAGTTAGGTTATGATTTAGATAGAATTTTCTTTAGGTTAGCTTTACGTGTATTAAACAGTGAGAGAGACAGACAGAGAGAGAGAGAGACTGACGTTGCTTACCTTATCTTTGCTGCCCTTTTTCTACATATAGTTTATTTTTTGGTTTTTGTTGGTGGGTTTGAGTTTTTGTTTTGTTTGTTTCATTATATAGTACAAGTCATGACAAGAACAATGATATATGTATATAGATATTTCAATTAATATTCATATATATTGACACAGAAATATTTTACAAGTGAAAATGGAGTTTAAGATAAAGAGAGAAAAAAAGAGATATATAGATAGAAAGTGGGAGAGCTTGGGCTTTGATAGGGGGCTCGGGCTGGGGAAACTTGGTTTTTGCGTTTTAAAAACATCGAGACAACTTTTGGCTTTGCTTTGCAAGTAAGAGCTTTGTTCATTTCACTGGCTGGACTGGGCCTTGATGTAAATGTATTTTACAGTGAAGACGCTGACTTGACGGCCAGTTGATCTTCAGTCACTTACTTGCAATGAGAAGCGGCGGTGACCCGCCTTGCGACCGCCGCGCCTTTTGCTAATGTGCGGATTATCCTGGCGCAGTGTCTTGTTCTTCAGTATCTCCAGTTGTGTGTACAGTCTACAGTCGAGCGGAACGGAATGGCAATGAAACGTGAACGTAATCGGTACGGTTAATGGCGCTCACCTTTTGAGTTCGGCACGTATATCCTCGGGACTCATTTCGGATATGGTCAGCTCACCAATGTCGGGATCGCCCAGGCACAGGCCCGCATAGCCGCCGCCCAAACGCTGGCCGGCATCGTGTGACGTACCCTTGAAAGCATCCACAGGTAAACGCATTGATAGATCATACGCAAGCGAACGAACCTGCAAGCTATGAAGATGCAACAAACACCGCAAACCACACACTCAGCGTACCGTACGAAAACGGAACGGAACGGAACGGAAATGAAAACGGAAACCGAAACAAAAACGGAAAAGCTAACGCTTAACGTTTGAAACAGTTGAAACGGAAATGGTTAAGGAAACGGAAATTTTAACTGAACATCAAGGGTTAACGTATAGAAAAACAAAATTTATAAATATTGAGAATTGGTAAAAGTATAGAAGAAATTTTTAGTGCGCTTTGTGTCAAATTGTGGAATGTGTAATTGTGTATGGAATTTGTATGATTACTCTCAGAGAAAATGTATATAAAAATCTTGTAATTTTTAGTGTGAGTGACTTGAAAAAGTATATACTTAGAAATTTAGTTTGTAAACTTGATAGTTTTCTTATTGAAAGTTTAATAGAGTTTTTTGTTGAACTTAAGTTAAGAGATTTGCTTTTCAGCTTATAACTTTTAGATTTTAAATTTTGAGGTAGTTTTTTTCTCTGAGCTTTTGTATGGCTTATTAGTGTGATTTTATAAATGTGTGTCTGTTGGGGCGTGGGCGTGGTTATGTCTCTTGTGGTGCTGTAAATGAGATAAACATAGGTCAAAATCTAAACTTAAATAGCGACGAGACTAAACGTTACTTTGGACTTTGGCTAAGAGAACTACTTTAGGTTAGAGAGATAGACGGTGAGTAGCATGGGTTAACAAAGAATTACAGAGAGAGAGGCAGAGCGATAGAGAGAGAGAGAGCGCAAGTGAGAGACACAGAGTTATAGATTATAATGTGGAAGAAGAAGAGAATACTCTATAGTTTTGGTATACATGTTGGGTATTAAAGGAAACCGATTTTTGTCATTATAAATTGTATGGTTGTCTTAGCTGTAATGTGTTAAGTAAATGCATGCACTCACACACAATCGCACGCATGCAGCCATAGTGTTGGTTAACGTCTTAATTAAAGAAAAGCGAATACAGTTGTGCGAACTTAAGAGCTCGGGTGCAGTTAGAACGAAATAAAACGCAACACGAGATGAAATCAAGAACTTCGATAAATACATACAGTAAACATTCGGGTACAAAAATGACACTTGCAGCAACTTCATAGCTTGACTAAAATTCATGAAAATGTTAGCTTAATACTAAAATTGTATTTTGTAACTCCAAAAAATGAATAGAAACCATAATGAATTCAACTCGACAAATTATAATTTATTTTTTTTTGTTTGTTAATTCTATGAAATTAATTTTGTATTTAGCA